TTTAATCCCTGTTCTGCAGAGAAAATAAATCCACACCTGTGTATTTTGCCTAGATGGCGGAACCAATTGCTTTTAGAATGGATTCTTGTTGTGCTTTTTTTTCTGTTTGTTTTTTTGTAGCTTTAGAAATTTTGATAGCAATAAGGATTCCTCACTTCTGGAAAACTTTGAATTTCTAATAAGCCTTATGTTATCTTCTGCTGTGGTTATTATAAAGTATTTCCCTCTGGTTAACAATACAGCTGTGGCTTAGATTTTATTAGCTGGTTCTTGTTCTAACAATTGACTAGATACCTCTTTAAGGTCAAGTCCAAAATTCTGAACTATGGATACTGACAGAGTATCATTTACACCCAGGTCATCTTTAGCATCTCTAATGGATGCATAATAGAATCAAGTTTGCGTCTTTATCTTGTGGTGTAATCCCTTGAATGAACGCATGACCAAAATAGGGATGCCAGCAATAATGTGGTTCGTGTGCTTTATTTTTCTCAAAGTTGCTGTATGATATTGAGAGTTGCTTTGTTTGACGGGCACACAGGGTAGGAAGAGATGTCATGACAAGAGGAATTCTTTTGCACATATATAAGTTGATTTTATTTAAGTTAAATGTTGTTAACATAAATAAGTACTAGTAAGTTTACTTTTCCAAGTTGATAAATTGTCTACAAGGATGAACTATTAGAAAAATAACTGCTAAATGGTTTTATTATTTATTTTAAATACAATAAGCCAGAAACCAGGCACACACTTTACAGGACAGATTGTAAAGAGGTTGGTACAGTTCAACACATTCATCCATTTCTTCACTGTCCATACTGCAGTCACTGGGGAGTGGGTTGGTGGAACAAAAAAATGAAATTTTGAAAAATAATCTGTCTTATTGTGTACTGGATAGATAGGTGGATACTTACCACAGCACAATTAACATAAGATCTAGAAAGAGAAACAAAAATGTTTCGTACATAGAATTTTAGTAGAAAGGCCTATGGGAATTCTAGCTGTTCTCTCGATAACTATGCAACGGCAAGCATTCTGTTATAAAACAGCTCAGTTAAGTCAAAGAATGACATTTGGAAGTTAAAGAAGTCCTGTCAACTGACCTAGATAGTGTCATGGTGTAATGATTGGCTCTACCAAAGTTCCTCAATGGAGGACGTGGCTGAGATCTTACTGGAAAGGGTCCTGTCAAGTGTGATGAACACTAAGAAGGCCTTTAAATGGCGTAGTCTTCTGTTCAGGATGCGTACCTTCCATGGTAAGAAACTGGTCCTGTTTATGCATTTATTGCTTTTATCATTTTTTCTTTCTATATAAGGATTAGTAACCTGCTTTTTACATTACGTTCCAGATTTAGATATAAGGATTAATAACCTGCTGTTTACCTTAAATTCCAGATTTAGATATAATGATTAGTAACCTGCTTTTTACTTTAAATTTTAGATTAGTGGTATTTGCTTTCTGAAAACTCCTGAGATTATTTGGAGACTACTTGGACAAGCGTCAAACATTCTATGATAACTAAGCCTTGCTGATAAGCAAAAGAGCCTATTTTTCCAAAATGTGTCACAAGCCTTCAGGGTTACAAGTGAGTCCCAACCTGTGACAATCAGCAGGACTCAGGACATTCTGTAATGCTACCAATGTCAATTTGCCTGTAGTTCAACAAGTCTGTGCTTCTGATTTGACTTGTTTGGTTCTGGGAATGTTGAGATTTATTTCCCATAAAAGCAAACCTATGGTTTCATGCATCAAGACCAGAAACCATAGAACTGTACTGAAAATCACTTTCTTCCAGAAATCAATTTAATTGCCATTTCCTCAGGAAATAAGCTCTTTTATTTGACACGTCTCACACGTGGCAGAGTTGAGAAGACTCTTCTCTTGTTTTCAGTGAAAAAGCTCAACCTAGAGATCACCTGTATGATTGATGGTTTGGTGACAGTTGCTGCATTGTTTAACCTGAACTATCCTAATATTGAATATTGAAGACAAGTGTGAGATACGTAATTTAAAAATGCACATCTGCTGTAGTATAAGTGTGTCCCCTTTAAAATTCAGGTAGGGCTCCTCATTCATGAATGGGATTAAGACCCTTGTAAAAAATGCTTCACACAGTTTTAGCCTCTTGTCCTTCCACCTTCTACCATGTGAGTACACAGCATTCACCCTCTCTGGAGGATGCAGGGCACCATCTTGGAAGGGAGACCATGCCCTTTGCCAGACATTCAACCTGCTTGTGTCTTCATCTTGGACTTCTCAGCCTCCATGTGTTCTTTATAAATTACCCCGTCTACCGTAATGAACTAAGACAACACCCTTGTTACTCACAAATGTATAAAATATGCAGAATTTAGTTCATTGCCATTGGCCATCTTTTTAAATATAAATGTGTTTGATTTTTAAATAGTGCATCAAATTTATATGAACAAGTTTTGAAAGTTTCTCTGTAACTATATTTTAGTACATTTACTTATTTTTGCCACCCCTTTTATCTTGTAATACTAAGATGAAACTTAGCTTCATTTCCTAGATTACCATGTCAAGATTAGTTAGTTTATTAGCGAATTATGATTTTGTATTATCAAATTAAGTGTGATATTGTCCTGGTTGCAAGTAACAATTGTCAATCGTAGTGAATTATCACTGTAGTGTAGGAACACAGTTTATTCTCAGATCCAGGGACAATAGTGACTTCCACCCAACCTCTCCAACAAATCATTACCTTTTCACATTAACAGGAATGTATTTTTCGAAAATAAACAGGACACTATTTTTTTTCTATTCTGACATGATCAAACTTGCACTACTTTGTGCTGTGAAATCGGAAAGAATGATTGAGCATAATAGAATGGAGTTAGAAATGTTGAGGCTGTCATTATCTTTAATGAGAAGGAGATTTGTGCAGGAGTTATGGGTGTCCTTAGGTAACATAAACCCAAACTGTGTCATTTCCAGAAGAGAGTAACCATGGTGATGAGGGGCGTCTTTTGAAGGAAGTAGAATTGCTACACAATATCTATCCCAAACTCTATAAAATGTTGCCATTCATTAAAAGAAATAGTCTTACTGATTTGCACAGCTGTGAATTAAAGTGATAAAAGTAATTTTAGTATAAGGGATATAATTCTTTGTAGAAATTGAATGTGAGGTAGTATAATACAATGACTGAACTTGAGGGGTTTGGAATCATATTATAATTCATTGGTTCAATCTGGAGTTTATGAGATTACTAGTTACTAGCCTTTTATCCTTGCAAAAGTTGTTTAATCTCCATCATTGTATTCTCTTCAATTGTAGGGATGAAAGGGGTATTTCCCTTCACTGAGCTAATGTGAGAATTGAACAAAAATATGATGTATGGCTCTTGGTACAATTCTGCATACAAAGCAAAATGCTCAAAAATTGCTCAATAAATTTTAGTCATTTTTATGGCAGAATGTTTCTAGGGAAACACTAACACACATAAGGAATGAGGGCCTATCAGAACTGTGATAGAGTGTTAATTCATGCAGAACTTTATATGTATTGCTGTACTTTGAAGTTCATTCTGAATCTTAGATGCTACATTTATATTGATATAAAGCATAGGCTGAGCATGGTGGCTCACACCTGTAATCCCAGCACTTTGGAGGCCAAGGCAGGCAAATCACAAAGTAAGGAGATTGAGTCCATCCTGGCTAACACGATGAAATCCATCTCTACTAAAAATACAAAAAATTAGCCAGGCATGATGGCACGTGCCTGTAGTCTCAGCTACTTGGGAGGCTGGTGCAGAAGAATCTCTTGAACCTGGGAGGTAGAAGTTGCAGTGAGCTGAGGTTGCACCACTGCACTCTAGCTGAGTGACACAGTGAGACTCCAACTCAAAAAAATAAGTATAATTATCTAAATATAGAATTATATGTTAAAAATTATATGATTACATCAGCTGATATAATTCATAGATTTTTCCATAGGCTTCTGTTTCCTAAAAATTCTGTAACGTATTAGTTAGCAAAGTCTTCTTATATCTTCCCTTAGGATAAAACTAGAGAAGAGGAATAGTAAAGGGCCATAGCCTCAATCAAATGAGGAAATCATAATGGGAACCAGGAATAAGAGATTGAACACTCTTCACATAAAATATTAGTTATTTTAAAGCAGAGTTTTTCTGTCAACAGCTGATTTTGTCTTTGATCTACCTCTCAGACCCCTGAATGCTTTGGTTGCACAGTTGACCTTTTCACGTTGTTAGGGTAAGTGCTACACAAAGGCACCTTCAGACTTCCTTGCACATAGGTGCCCCTGCAAGCCCCTTGCCTGTGTGTGCTCTGGAGGTGCCACTAAACTTGGCAGCATCAGGAAATACACTTAAAAAATATTTTTTATTTAGATTAAATTCTCAACTAACTTTCAATTTTTTTAACTTATTAGAGACATCCCTTTCTGGAAATAGGTACAGATTACACTCTCCAGTCAACAGCTGTCATTCTGTCATATCATCAGATACCCGGGCTGCTGTTCCTTGAGGCGTCCACAGAATCACAGCATTTTCCACTATTGAAAGACATGAAAGATTGCAGAGCCTTCATTTCAACTGTTAGACATGAAGCAATTTTCCCAAATCTACATTAAGATATGGTACAGTAAGGACCAGATTAAAGGTTTCTGAATTTGCAACCATGTTCCCTCCATCTCCTTTACTCCTAAACACTCACACACTCACTCCTGCAAATGTTCTCTTGTCAAGTGAAAAATAAATATTCTTGCAAGGCTCAAACTTGTGAACACATCACTGACCAGCACAGAACTGGCTCACAGTAGGGACCCAATCAAAGTGTTTTACATGCAGTTGTGTCAAACCTTTCAAGTTCTTTGAAACAATCCTTTAAAGAAGAAAATTGTTTCTGAAGAGGACCTTCATACAGCATCTCTGACCAGCAACTGATGATGCTATTGATCTCAGATGCTGATTGGTTCTTCAACAAGAGATTACCCAATCCAGGAGCAAGGAAATCTGTAACTTCCTCCCTATAATTTGGAATGTGGATAGAGGGGGGTCATAATTCTCCCTGAGTGAGACTTGTCTGCTTCTCTGGCCCCTGGTCCTGTTCTGTTCTCCAGCATGGTGTGTCTGAGATTCCCTGGAGGCTCCTGCGTGGCAGCGCTGACAGTGACGCTGATGGTGCTGAGCTCCCCACTGGCTTTGGCTGGGGACACCCGACGTAAGTGCACATTGTGGGTGCTGAGCTACTATGGGGTGGGGAAAATAGGGAGTTTTGTTAACATTGTGTCCAGGCCATGTCCCTTAACAATTTGTGATGTTTTCTTTAGAGACTGCCCATCTTTATCATTTGATCCCAAATTATTTCCACCACAGAAGGAGCTTGGCTACTTGCCGTCTCCATGAGACTTGTGTAAGGGGCCACGATACAGGCCATTTCTTCTCAAATTTCCACCAGGAAAACCTTTGCATCACATTTCCTCAAGGTCTTTAGAGGATGTAGAAATAAGGATGCTAAAATAAATTCCCCATACAGCACTGCCCTTTATTATGCTGACTTATGTCGCACAAAAGGAGGGTTTCTTTTGAAAATTCTGTGGGAGTCAAGGGAATTCAAGGGGTCTGTTCTAGATGATCCTGTGTTACATCCTCCACAGGACCTTTGGTGTTGACCCCTCTTCCTCATATGTGAGGATGTACCTGGGGGCCTCCCCAGTATCTCCTTTCTTTTCTTTCTGAACTCCAATGTTTATATATCCTGTATCCCTGTAGTGTATGTAGGTTCTCTGACAAAAGTGATACTTAGTGCACTTACTTTCTTATGGGGAAACATCCCTGGAGCTGAAGCTGAGATCTTTAGTACTTGGAGTCACCCTACAGATAAAGAGCATTCATAGATAGTCTTTGGTTCCTAAAGAAATTAAGGCATCCTCTGAAAACCTGGCCCAGGTTAGTTTTTGATGAATCGTTTTTAAGCTTTCTGTACTAGTTTCTCCTCCATCTCCTACATGCTCTAACTAGGCATGACAAGAAGAGATTCAACTAACGTAGGATAAATTATATGAAATTCTATTTTTTGTAAGTCATAAATGGTCAAATATCAGAAATTTCATAATGTGTGGGGCCATAGAGAGAATGTGGACATTGTTCACATCTCATAGGGCTGAAAGTCAATGAGCAAGTCCTGGGAACTCATTGTCTTACTGGGTATTGTCCTAAATTTCATAGGTTCCCCCATCGTGCCCTCAGCTTTCCTTAATTAGCCATGTCTGCTTCCCTCTTCCTCCAGTTTCTCTCTATTTCCCCCCCAGATATGTTGCCATCATTTCCAATAATCTCTTATGGCTGCACAGCATTAGCATTATGAGATCCAATGAAAGAGATAATTTTTTTTTTCTTTTCAAGACAAGGCCTGGCTCCATCACCCAGGCTGTAGTGCAGGTGTGTGATCCAGGCTCACTGCAACCTCTGCCTTTAAGGCTCAAGCGATCCTCCCTCCTCAGCCTCCAGAGTAGCAAAGTCTACAGGCAGGCAACCATACCTAGCACCAGCTCAGTTTTGTAATTTTGGTAAACTCGAGGTTTTACCATGTTGTCCAGGCTGGCCTTAAGCTCCTGGACTCAAGCAATCCTCCTGCCTTGGGCTGCCAATGTGCTACAATTATAGGTGTGACCACCGCACCCAAGCAAAAAGAGATGAATCTTAATCACAAAATTTTAGACCGGCGCAATGGCTCACAGCTGTAATACCAGCATTTTGGGAAAACGAGACAGGCAGATCACGAGGTCAAGAGATCGAGACCATCATGGCTAACATGACGAAACCTCGTCTCTACTAAAATCACAAAAATTAGCTGGGCATGGTGGCCTGCGCTGTAATCCCAGCTGCTTGAGAGACTGAGGCAGGAAAATCACTTGAACCCAGGAGACAGATGTTGCAGTGAGCCAAGATTGTGCCACTGCACTACAGCCTGGCAACAGAGTGAGACGCCGTCTCAAAAAAAATTCTTTTTTCTTAAATCACTGTTTCTCTATCTGTGAATTCTTCTACCAAATAGAAAGAGGAGAAAGAAGAAGTTTGCCTGTATTTCTCACAGGGTAGAGAAGGGTTAGAGTGTGACATCAAATGAAAGGGTGCTGGAGCTTCAGCCCCTTCTTGCTCTCCAGGATCCCCACAGTGATCAGTTCCCAGAACCCTGGTTTATTCATGTAAATCACACTTATTTTTCTCAACAGCAACTATTTACTAAGCTCCCCTCTAGGTTCAAATCATTCTATTTGACTAAAACAGAGAGGTTGGGAGGCCGAGGCAGATGAATCACAAGATCAAGAGATTGAGACCATCCTGGTCAACATGGTGAAACCACGTCTCTACTAAAAATACAAAAATTAGCTGGGCATGGTGGTGCGTGCCTGTAATCCCAGGTACTAGGGAGGCTGAGACAGGAGAATTGCTTGAACCTAGGAGGCGGAGGTAGCGGTGAGCTGACATTGGGCCATTGCACTCCGGCCTGAATAACAAGAACAAAACTCCGTTTAAAAAAAAAAAAAAGACAGAGAAGATCCCTACTATCAAGGAAGTTACACCACAGTACAGGAGACCGACGATAACCCAATAAGCATTTAAAAAAGAGGAAAATGTTAGAGAAAATACATCACATTTGTGAAAAAGAGAGAAATGGATTCACCCAACATTAGTTCATATGTTTAGGGAGCTCCACCTGAGCTCATTTTCATTTTCATTCATGTTGCATTTTTCATTGTTAAAGTTCTATATGTCCATCATGGCATGTGCTAAAGAACACAAGGAAGTATTGTCACTCCTTCTTCTGAGGTTTCACTAGCAAGTTGGGCTAGCGTTGCCAAATAAAACACAGGTTCCTAGTTAAATCTGAATTTCAGATACACACCCATAATTTATTGGCAATCCAGATTTCACTGGGCATCCTCTAGTTTTATTTGCCAAATCTGTCAACCCGAAGTGGGACACATGAGCATGGATTGCAGGGCTAACCATGGAAGACACAGTGACAGCGACTTCACACGTTTATTTTTTAACTTTATGTCTGTAAAGAAAGTGCTTAGATAATTTAAGAATAAAAAGATACACATTGTTTGATCCAGGGTGCACTCCTATCTGCCATCACATCTAAAGGGCAAAGGGAGCTTCGTGAAGAAGGTCTTACTCAAAGTCTGGGGACCTGCTCATTTTTTTGTAAACTGTCTGTACGAGATTGTTATTTTCTTGGTTTCTCCCTTTCTGAGGGGACTTGACTACAAAAGGAGAGTTCTACCTCAGCCAAGGCTGGTAATTTCAATCCTACTAATGTTGTTGGGAGTGGCAGGCTGAAATAAATGAGTTAGTTGGGGAATTAAGAATCAAATAGCTATGCTTGTGATTCACTACTACAGATAAGTAGTGGACCAGTGGCAGAGAAACTAAGAAAGAAGACGATATGAAAGATAAATGATAAGATTTGGTGACTGATTGGTAAGGCAAGGAAATCAATAAATCTTGGTTATCAACAAGTTCATTTTCCGGAAAGAGAGCACTGTATTGGGATCAGAATTCTATAAATCATTCATTTTATGTAGGACCAAGATTTTCAATGTATATTTTTCAATGTAATTCTCAGCTGCTCCATAACTAATAGTGGCTTGTTCCACACAGATTTTTTTTTTCACATGGTTCACACCCATGGTTCTTACCCCGGCATAGTTCACCACCCTTTCCCTCCTTCCCTCGTTCCCATGGGGAACGTGTGGCAATGTTTGGAACAATTTTTGGTTGTCACAACAGGGGTTTCACCTGATACTTAATGCGTAGAAGCCAGGGGCACTACTATAGAACCTGCCATGTGCACAGCAGCCTCCGTCACCAACAAAGAATTATCTGGTCCAAAATGTCAACAGTTCTGAGGCTGAGAGCACTGGTTCACACTGCGCTCTTCCTGAAAATTCTAGACTCACATCTATACAGTCACCACTCCTATTCAGTTTGTTATGGTTTATTTTTGCTTGTTTCATTATAAAAAACTAGACAGTTGCATAAATTCAACCACTTTCTGTTGAATCTGTTTATCAGTGCGAGTTCAATACCTTCACATTTATGTTTTGCCTTCTGCAGTATTTTTCTGCATTTTCATGAGTCGTTGGTCTTCACTGTCTCTATTAACTTTTCACGACTTGTCCCTTCTAAGTCACAAACAGTGATGCTGCTGCAATTACTTTTCACTAAGATGCCTCAGATTTCCGTAGTGATTCTACATTTGATACTATTGACAATGTAAGTCTCCTCGTTTGGCACAAGGTCGTCACTAAGGAAGTGTTCACAGGATGAATGCGGTGGGGGCTGTTGAAGGAACCAGTAAAGCCTGTGGGATGCGAGAAGCGGCAGAGCGTGTCTTTGGGTGGAGGCTCCCAGGAGGAGGCGGCGCGGGCTGCGGTGCGGATCTTCCTCAGCTCCTGCTTCGAGGTCTCCAGAACAGGCTGGAGGCCGGGAGGGGGGCCCAAAAGACTTGGGATCAGAGGGGGTTTTCCCTTCCCCCAGCCCCCGTCCGCCTCAGGAAGATAGAAGAGGAGCCCCTGGCCTGCGGGGCCGGGGTTGCCGGTGGGGCCGGTCAAAGTTCTCAGAGTCCGCACCCGCCCTGGGAGCCCCGATGGCGGCGTCGCTGTCGGCGTCTTTCCCTGAGGCCGCCCCTGTGACCGGATCCTTCGTGTCCCCACAGCACGTTACTTGGAGCAGGCTAAGTGTGAGTGTCATCACTTCAACGGGACGGAGCGGGTGCGGTACCTGGAAAGATACTTCTATAACCAGGAGGAGTATGTGCGCTTCGACAGCGACGTGGGGGAGTACCGGGCGGTGACGGAGCTGGGGCGGCCTGACGCGGAGTACTGGAACAGCCAGAAGGACATCCTGGAGCAGAAGCGGGCCGAGGTGGACAGATGCAGACACAACTACGAGGTTTCAGAGAGGTTCCTAGTGCCGCGGAGAGGTGAGCGCGGCGGGGCGGGGCCTCCCTGTGAGCTGCTAATGAGAGAGAGAGAGAGAGAGAGAGAGAGAGTCTAAGAGAGACTGAGAGACTGTGAGAGAGAGACTGAGAGAGACGAGAGGGAGACAGACAGAGAGAAAGACTGACAGACACTGAGAGAGAGACTGAGAGAGACTGAAAGACTGAGAGACTGAGAGACAAGACAGAGACTGAGAGAGATAAGACAGACTGAGAGAGACTGATGGAGAGAGACTGAGAGAGAGAGAGAGAGAGAGAGAGGGAGAGAGAGAGCCATCTGTGAGCACTTAGAATCCCCTCAATCCTGAGCAGGGAGCTCTGAGGGCACAGGTGTGTGTGTAGAGTGTGCATTTGTGTGTGAGGCTGTTGTGGGAGGGGAGGCAGGAGGGGACTTCTTCTTATCCTTGGAGGCCTCTGTGGGGAGGGGACATGGGAGGTGGGTGCAGGGGCTGGAGAGGGAGGAGACCCGGATTGTCCCGGGTCCTTAGAGATGCAGGAAGGGAAATGTGAGGTGTGTGTGGCTGGGGTGAGGGTTTAGGGGAGGGGAGCTGAGGGGTGTGGGAGGTTTGGGGTAGTGTGAGGAGACCAGTTCCAGATGTCCCTGCACACACCCTTCATGCAGTCGCGGTGTTTGCAAAAGCATCAGATTAATTTCTAGGGGAGCTGAGGAGACCTCTGAGGCACCTCTGAAGTTTCTTTAGGTCTAAATTTTTTACTAGTTTTTTGTTTTCTTAGTGTGTATATTTTTGCATAGTTGAAATGACTGTGAAACTAACATGTTAAATAAAGTTTTAACACACTGTTACTGGCCGGGCGCAGTGGCCTGTAATCCCAACAGTTGGGGAGGTCAAGGTTGGATCACAAGGTCAAGAGATTGAGACCATCCTGGCCAACATGGTGAAACCCCATCTCCACCAAAAATACAAAAATTAGCTGGGTGTAGTGTCGTGCCTTTAGTCCCTGCTATTCCAGACCCTGAGGCAGGAGAATGGCTCGAACCCAGGAGGCGGAGGTTGCAGTGAGCCAAGATTGCGCCACTGCACTCCAGTCTCAGCGAGAGAATGGAAAAAAAAAAAAAAGAAAAAAAAACATTGTTACTATTTCATTATAATGCTAATAGTTTTCTAGTAATTCCATATTATTATTATTATTATTATTTTGAAATGGAGTCTCACTCTGTCACCAGGCAGGAGTTCAGTGGCACAATCTTGGCTCACTGCAGTCTCCCCCTCCCAAGTTCAAGCGATTCTCCTGCCTCAGCCTGATGAGTAACTGTCACTACAGGTGCTTGCCACCTTGCCCAGCTAAATTAGAATTTTTACTAGAGAAAGCATTTTCTACATTTTGTGGCTTGTATGTTGATTTTGAAAATTGTTTTCCATGCTAAGAATTGGAACATTTCTACTTAATAAAACATATTGCAAAATTTGTATTAATGATTCACAATCCATCTTAAATCTACCTTTTTGTGGTATTGTTATCTCCAGGTTTCTGCTTCCTTCTTTAAAAAAAATGTATTTATTGAGAGTCTGCTAGTGTCAGGGATTTTCCTAGACATAAGCACCTCAACTAATGAGTCTCAGATGCCGCCATGACACAAATGTCATTCTGGAAAGAAAAATCACTTTACAATGACAGGTCTATAATAGTTACGCTTGTTTTGCATGGGAGATGCATTGATCTGCTACATGTGAATGTAAGAGCTTTCAAAACTAAAATGACTTTCCTTCATCCTTCTCTCTGCTTTAGGACTCCTGCTTTTCTAGGAAATTAAAGATTTGGAGAATCATTTTTGTCTGTCTCACCTTCCCAGGGGCAGAACCATTTCTGTGGTGTTCTAAGGTGTGAGTGCATGGCGGTAGGATTCCTAAACATGCATCCTCGGTTTCCTCATGCACCTTACTCTGTCCCTTTATCTTTCCACATTGCTCTAAATCACATTTTTCTCTCCAGGTGTACAAGGAGGATAAACAGGTGCCAAGTGGAGCACCCAAGTGTGGTGAGCCCTCTCACAGTGGAATGAAGTGAGAACCTTTCTGACCTAATAGTTGAAGGCTACCTTCAGTCATTGTTTTATATATTGAAGTGCATTAATCCCATAAAATCCAAGAGGTGAATTAGTATAATTATCCTTCATTATAGGTGAGAAAGTTGAGACACAGAAGAATTGAAAAACTCTTAGAGGATCAACCAGTAAAAGGCAGACCTTGGATGTGAACTAGGAACCCTGGCTCAGAAATCAGTTTTAATTAATACCATCTGTATTTTCAAACATTTGTAAACACTTTGACAATGCATGCCAATTTTAAGCTATGAAGAAACAAACACAATTTTTTACAACATCGCTCAAATCTAATGGGTCCCCACTATAAAGATTAAATCCCAGGCTGATGACACCGTGAGGCCACATGGCCAGCTGTGCTGGAGGCCTGGTCAAGGCCAGAGCCTGGGATTACAGAGAAGCAACAAACAGACAAACAAGGAGACTTGCTCTGTCCTCCCGACTCATTCCCTCTCTCTCTTGTTCTCCTAGTACAACCTAAGGTGACTGTGTATCCTGCAAAGACCCAGCCCCTGCAGCACCACAACCTCCTGGTCTGCTCTGTGAGTGGTTTCTATCCAGGCAGCATTGAAGTCAGGTGGTTCCGGAATGATCAGGAAGAGAAGGCTGGGGTGGTGTCCACAGGCCTGATCCAGAATGGAGACTGGACCTTCCAGATCCTGGTGATGCTGGAAACAGTTCCTCAGAGTGGAGAGGTTTATATCTGCCAAGTGGAGCACCCAAGCGTGACCAGCCCTCTCACAGTGCAATGGAGTGAGCAGCTTTCTGACTTCATGAATTTCTCACCCACGGAGAAGGGAAATTTGCTAATCCCTGAGTGTCAGGATTCTCCTCTCCCACATCAGATTTTCATTTGCTCCACGTTCCAATCTCCATCAGCACAGGTTACTGTGGGGAGCCCTGTTATAGTTTCTAGAAATGCCTGTAGCCCATGGGAAGCAGTCATGCCTACCAGGCAGGAGAGGCTGTCCCTCTTTTGAACCTGCCCATGACATCACAGACAGGGTCACCTTCTCTCTCTGGGCTGCAGGCCCTGCCCCTGAGACTGTGTTTCTGGTGCTGTTGCTGTGCGTTGTTGTTGTGATGTGAGAAGAGGGGAACTGCAGGGGCCTTCCTGACATGATGAAGGTCCAATCTCAGCTCTGCCTTTATGAGCTCTGTCACTCTAGACAAAGTACTTAACCTCATTGAGTCTCAGGCTTTCTGTTGATCAGGTGGTGAAGTCAGGCCTTACATCAAGGCTGTGATATTTGAGTTTGATTCCTGAACCTTCTAACTGTTCAGTGTGATTTGAAAACCTTTTTTTCTCCAGAAATTGTCCGTTATTTTAGTTCTTGCAGGGCAGCCTTCTTCCCCATGTTCAAAGCTCGGAATCTCAGGGTCTCAATTAAAGACATTCAATTTGGAATAAAAATCACTAAACCTGGCTTCCTTTCTCAGGAGCGCAGTCTGAATCTGCACAGAGCAAGATGCTGAGTGGAGTTGGGGGCTTTGTGCTGGGCCTGCTCTTCCTTGGGGCAGGGCTGTTCATCTACTTCAGGAATCAGAAAGGTGAGGAGCCTTTGGTAGCTGGCTCTCTCCACAGGCTTTTCCGGAGGAGGAACTATGGCTTTGCTGAGGTTAATTCTCAGTATATGAGTGGCCCTGGATAAAGCCTTTCTTTCCCCAAATGACCTTCAATGTCCTGCAAATCCAGAAATCATCAGGGCATGGTTACTCTGTGAGAGCTTAATAGCTAGTGGCCTGCAGAGTTATGAGGAAGATTAACAAGTAGGGGTCCTTGGTTTGAGATCCTGGAATAAAGAAGAGCCACTAAGTGTAATGCAGGTACACTGGATCCTGTGACAGACACTTCACACTTTGAGGGTCCCATGGTCTGTTTCTGCTCCTCTCTGCCCCAGTTGGTGTGGGTTGTGGTGTTAGAGAAATCTCAGGTGGAAGATCTGGGGCTGGAACATTGTGCTGGAGGACAGATTTGCTTCCATATCTTTTAAGTGTGTCTTTTCCTCTTTTTCCCAGGACGCTCTGGACTTCAGCCAACAGGTAATACCTTTTATCTTCTTTTAGAAACAGTCACTTTCCCTAGAATAGTGGTAGAGGTGATAAGGCATGAGACAGAAAACATAGGCAAGACTTTGGATCCAAATTTCTGATCAGGCAATTTACACCAAAACTCCTCCTCTCCACTTAGGAAAGGCCTGTGCTCTGCAGGTATTGGTTCAGGGAGATGTAAGAACTTGTTTTCCTTCTTCCTGCAGTGCTCTCATCTGAGCCCTTGAGAGAGGTGAAAAGACCCTGTTAGTAGAGCCAGGTCTGAACACAACACTTTCCTCTGTCTCTGCAGGACTCCTGAGCTGAAGGGAAGATGACCACATTCAAAGAAGAACCTTCTGCCCCAGTTTTGCAGGATGAGAAGCTTTCCCGCTTGGCTCTGATTCTTCCACAAGAGAGAGTTTTCTCAGGACCTGGTTGCTGATGGTTCAGCAACTCTGCAGAAATGTCCTCCCTTGTGGCTTCCTCAGCTTCTGCCCTTGGCCTGAAGTCCCAGCATTGATGACATTTCCTCATCTTCAACTTACATACTCCTCTTTACCTAACCCTTCATGCCTCCCGTGCATCTGTACTCACCCTGTGCCACAAACACATTACATTATTAAATTTTTCTTAAACATGGAGTTAAAAATGGTGCGGTTTATTTAGCTCCAAGGAAAGAAACATAAAGGAAAGGAAAGGCTGGACTCGGTGACTCAGGCCTGTAATCCCAGTGCTTTGGGTGGCCAAGGAGGGCAGAAACTGAGATGAGAAGATTGAGACCATCTTGGCCAATATGTTGAAACCCTCTCTCTACTAAAAATATAAAAATTAGCTGGGCATGGTGGTGCATCCCTTTGATCCCAGCTACTCAGAAGGCTACGGCAGGAGAATCGCTTGAACCAGGGAGTCAGATGTTGCAGTGAGCCAAGATGGCACCACTGCACTGTAGCCTGGTGACCGAACCAGACTCCGTCTCAATAACAAAAAAAGAATAAAGATAAAAAGAAGATTATCCTCCAGTGGAATAATGGTTTTCCTGTATATGTCATAAGCATGTGAGATAATGCATTATGTTAAAAAGCTTAATTTAGACATTCCACACTATAGGCATATATCAACACTTCATGCTGTATAACGTGAAGTTACTATGCAATTTTTACCTGTCAATTAAAAAAGTAAAGCCAATGTTTAAAAAGGCAATGCATGAAAACAGAATGGACTATAACAACTGAAACAAACGTGGCAAACATGAGATGAGAAATCAACCAGCAAGTCAATCAGAACACTTTCTTAACCCCGTCCACAATATAGCGTATATAGATACGCTGTATATTAGTATATAGTTTTTCATTCCAGAGACTTCAATAACATCGCATTCTAAAGGACTTGTATAGATTTCAGAGAATGACAAATTTAGAAGATGAAGGGTTCTTCATTGTGTTCTGAAAATCAGGTTCAAATGTGTCAAATCTAAAAGTACATAATCAAAAGTTTATTTCAAAGTAGTAATTGTTTGGAAAACTCTGCCCCTACTGTGAAAGCTCTCTTTCCCTCCCCCACGAAGAGGCTCCCTTATCTCGCACTCTACATACCGCTCTAGCCCTCCCGCCGGGCTTCCCCGCCTCCCAGTTTCCCGCCGCCCAGCTTCCCTGCCCAGCGGTTTAAACTGACCAACCGTTGCCCGCCACCTCAGCTCCCTCGGCTTCCCACTCCCTCAGCCCTTCAGTTCCCTATAAAACAACCCTGCCCCTCTGAGCGGCGAGGCCATTTTTTCCTTTTCGTCCAGGCTGGGCCGCCCGGAGGCTCTTTTCTCTCAATAAAGCCTGAACTTAAAGAATTTCTTCTTGCCTGCGGTCCGGTTTCTTTCCGAACGAGCTCAGTCTTCCCGCAGAGGGTAGGTCGGACAGTAATCATTTGAACATAATTTCTCTACTGTCAGAGACAATTGTTTCTTTATTTCCAGTCAAACTTCATGTTTATTTTATGCATATAGATCACCAAGACCTAATGCTATTATCATCAATATTTCATGCTTATTTTATTTTTAGTTATATGTTACTTGTACATACATAGTAGTACAGGTACATATAAATTCTATAGGAATATATTAAGCTGATAATTATGTCTGTACTGTTTGATCCTAGAGTTGCAACAAATAGGCCTTGTTCCCTAAGTTGAGGAAACAATGTGTCACATTTTATATGAGACTTGTGGTGTGGAATTAAAAAGTAGAACTAAAATGTATGAGATGAATGTTTCAATGAAGATGCCTTCTGCTGTTAATAGCAGGAAATCCTGTCTAGTAGGTTTTATTTTTCTTTAACCCATTATCTCACATAGCTGATAGATTTAAGGCTGCTCAACTCAGCAGGCCAGTGACACCACCAGTGATCCTGGAACTTCATAGCTCATCTCTCTGTAACACACATCATGTCAGCTTTCCTGAGATGGCAGGAGGACCCCTGCAGCAGCCTTAGGTTTCTTATTCTTTCACAACAACTCCCAAAGGCAGGTAAAGGATAGTACTTTTTCCTGTGTGCCTTTATGAGGCGCAACTAAACTGTTTCCACGGTGTTCCCAGTACCCACTTTCTCACACATTGAAATGACCATGGGATCACATCGACTCAGACAAGCCAGGATTCAACCTTCGAGGACTGGGCCTGATGCACAAGGGAAGAAAATGAACAAAATCATATATTTAAAAAAAATAAAGAAATGGTGGATTCAGTAGGAGAGATCAGTTTCAGGGTAGGGAAATGATAGATTGTGGTACTATTAGGTTGTTAGTATTTGTAGTTAAATTCTATGTGAAGGCCTAGACTCCTGATAGGCATCCTCAATTCAGGGTTTTGGGTATACATATATGTATATATATATAGTATTAAATTTCTCTCTCTCTAGAGAAGGAGTATTAAATTTCACTCTCTTTATATACATGTAAAGACAGTATTAAATTTCAGCCATTAACTCAAATTACAACAAAATCAAAAAGCAAGCAAAAAGGGTTATTTTTAGAACTTAGGTATGCTGACATGTTATTTTATGAGGTAAATACATTTTCCAGAAAAGTTTTTGAAAAAAAGAAGAAATGGCTAGCTCTATAAGGTCTAAAATATACTATACATTTTCTAAAATATACTATGCATTTTTTAAAACAAATGCATTGTTATTGATATTTATTAAATTAAATATGCTAGTAAAACAGAGTCTAGAATTAGAAACAGAAGTTGAGATTCAGTTTCAGTTTTTGAATAAGTTGTATTCCAAGCTCATTTCTTTCACTAAAAGGATCCTGAAAAAATGACAAGTGAAACATAAAGAGAAAATATAAAATTACAAAGACAGATGTTATTTCTTTTTTTTTTTTTTTTTGAGACGGAGTTTCGCTCTTGTTACCCAGGCTGGAGTTCAATAGCACGATCTCGGCTCACCACAACCTCCGCCTCCTGGGTCAGGCAATTCTCCTGCCTCAGCCTCCTGAGTAGCTGGGATTACAGGCACGCGCCACCGTGCCCAGCTAATTTTTTGTATTTTTTAGTTGAGACGGGGTTTCACCATGTTGAACAGGATGGTCTCGATCTCTTGACCTCGTGATCCACCTGCCTCAGCCTCCAAAGTTGCTGGGATTACAGGCGTGAGCCACCACCGCACCCGGCCCGATGTTATTTCTAATACAATAACCATCATCATTATATCTGAAGGCAAACAGATTTTCTTAACCCTTATGCATTGCTGATTGGAATGTGTGATTTTGCAAATACCCGGACATTTGGCAATTTCTTAAAAAGTTTAACATATGTGGCTGGGCACGGTGGCTCACGCCTGTAATCTCAGCACTTTGGGACCCCAAAGCAGGTAGGTAGATCAGGAGGTCAGGAGATAGAGACCATCCTTACCAACATGATGAAACCCCGTCTCTACTAAAAACACAAAAATTAGCAGGGCCTGGTGTATGCACCTGTAGTCACAGCTATTCAGGAGGCTGAAGCAGGAGAATCACTTGAACTCAGGAAGGGCGGGGTTGCAGTGGGCGGCAATCATGCCACTGTACTCCATCCTGGTGACAGAGGGAGACTCCCTCTCAAAAAAAAAAAAAAAAAAAAGCCTAACATATATTTTCCATGTGACCCAGCAGTTTCACTCTTTGGAGTCTACCTAAGAGATATAAAAACCATATATCCTTACAAAGACATGTGTTCAAGTGTTCAGAACAGCCTTCACCATAGTTGGCCCAAACTGAGATCAATCCAAATATCCTTCAGTTAGTAAATGGAGAAACAACATGATACTACAGCCATCCAAGCCAATATCATTCGACAGTAAGAAGGAAGGAAAATAGATTTAACTGGCAGGGGAGATGACATGAGCATGAGGGTAGTTTTTCCAAGGCAAATCAACCCTTGCACTCTGGATGAATGGGTACAATGTATGTGATTTGAGTGATGGATACTGTAGAAACACTGCAATCACCATGCAATCTTTGCATGCAGCAAAACTATACCTGTACCTCATACATTTACACAAATGAGAAATGAAAAAATAAATCTTAATACATGAAGAGAAAAGAAACAAAATGATGATACATACTACAGACCTGGTGAACTTCAACAGTGTTAACCAAGTGAAGGAAACTGAACACAAGACATTACATGTGGTATGATTTCATTTACTTGAAATACCTAGAAGAGATGCATATATAGACACAAGGAGCAGCACGTTGGGTGCCTAGTGCTTGGGGTATCGGTGGGAATTAGCTATAAAGAGAGAAATTTTAGACATGACAGAAATGTTATAAAACTGGATTGTTGTGATAATTGCACAAATCTTTTAATTTACTAAAATTATAAATATACAATGAGAAAATTTTGTAGTATGTAAATTATGCTTTAGTAAACCTGGTAAAATAATTCTTTAAAAAAAAATAAGCCTTTGTAAGCAAGACAAAATCCATAACACACAAATGAAGAAAATTTTAAGAAATTTACTGATTTCTTTGAATGAAGAAAATAACAAAATTAAAAGAAGTATAAGAAGCTCAGAAAAAAATTTTGATCCCATGTGTCAGACAATGGACTGTCTTAGTAAACATTGGTAACTAATCAATAAAAAAATTAGTGGAAATGCCACAGAAAAAAAGGGCAAAGGATTTATACTGATTATAAAAGAATATTCCAATAGTCAATAGATACAAATATTTGCTTAAACTCACCAATGAATAGAAAACTTTAAATTCAAACAGAAATGTAATAAACTATTTCTCACCTCCCAACCCCCAAAATTGGCAAATACAGTATTTTATTTTAAAATCAAGAATTTAGAAGATTCTATGGGAATAGATTGTCATATTATTAGAAGTCTGAGTGGATGGCAATGTGGTAGTGTCTATTAGAACTCAAAATGCAGTTGTTACATGCTTGTTGAAAACAAGAAAAATTCCATTCTAAACATCTGTCTTAAAGAAAGACTGAAGTCTTTTTAAAAAGAAAAACAATCCTACATGGACCTGAGGAGACATAAAATTGGTTGTTTGTTGAGCCACTGTTTGGAATAACAAAAACATTTGCAAATTCTAAAAGAGAAATTGATTAATTTGACTTGATGATAAAACTCTTGAACATCATAAAAACTATGCAGTATGTGAAAAGAC